TCGACAACAGATTACCGTCTGAAATCCTCTGCCACATGACGTGTTCATCATCGATCCTTCACCGTTTGCATTTTGGTTCACACGTAAGCAGGTACCGAGTCAGTGATGATGCTAGACTACTTTGAAACAGACGACTGGACAATGCAATTCTTCTGATAACGTTGAAAAATTGGTTATCCGCATAGGTGCAAAGTTTATATTCTCAGCTCTGAAGAACAAGTCATTAAAGATAAGGATCAACCCGTCTTTAGCTTCAGATATACAAATCGCCGGAACTTCGGTGACAGTTACTCGGAATATTAAAAGAATATATAATTTTTCCATTAAATATTTTGCACTCGTATATATTAATCATGAATGCCATAAAAAAGCAAGAAAAAAATTCAGTATTACTTAAAGATAATAACATTAAAACAGTACACAACATTCAAGAGTACCTGCAAAGCATAAGGGCATGATTCGTTGTATTTCAGGTGCTCGGATTTCGTGATTTTGCCGTTCATTAAAGTCTTCCTGATACGAAAGTGAAACTGAGTGTCTCCAAGACATCCTATAAATCAATCGAAGCAAACTGCTTTCAAAAAATATAAAATAAACACTATAATTAATTCGACTGGCCAGAATATGAAGGAGGGTCATGCATATTCTTCACCAGTAAAGTTTATGATGAACAGATGTTAAGAAGAAGCATAGCAGACTAGTTTTAGCCGGAAGTCTGAAATTCCTATCGTGGCATATAAACCAACACATGGATGAAAACTATGAACAACGTCTTTCTTTTTGCCAAAGAGAATTCTTGCATTAACTCATGTTGATGATATGGTAGTCAAGTGCTCTCAAGAAGAAAGGATGTCCTCTACGGCAGAGCAATAGCTGAGGCGATTGATTCAAACATTTATTTGACAAATACAGATTGAGTATCTCCTATCTGAAATTAGGAAATCCATAATATTGCATTTACTCGTTTCTCATTCCTGAATGTTTTTGAAACATTTTTTGATAATATGCCGTAACACCCTTCCTGCCCCTCTTTCCCTCAACTTTCCATCGACAGTCGTACCTTCTAATACCCGGCCAATCAGAAAGAAGCCTCTTGCCGTCTCTAACGAGAGCCAGATGGTCAAACCGGCAGTTCTTTGCGTCCTATTCGTGAGCACACTTGGTCACTGCTTATTTCGTCTGCAGAATCAAAGGAGAGACATGTCAAACACATTCTAACTTCCACCCCCTCTTCCTTCCTCTTCGTCAACTTCTCTCTCTTCCAGTCTACATAAATCATATGAACATTTTTTCTGTCTTGATGCTGTTGTACTGCAACGAAAGCCGAGTCGTTTCAATTTGTGAAATAATTACGTTTCCTTTTCTCGTGATTGATGTGGAGCTGACACGCCGCTTTTTGTAATATCCATGCTTTCTGTAATATCCATAAATGTAAACTTTGCTCTCACAACAAACAACCTTTTCGTACAGTAATTCACTGTTTTGGGCCATAAATATTTTTGTCCATACGAATAAGATTCGTTATTTTCTATTTTTAAGTGAAGAACTTGGGTGAAGAAACGTGTTAAATGGTCTTAATAGTTTATATTTCAGAATTCTGTTACCTGTTATGAGTTTCTTCAACGATTCCCCCTTCGTTATAGCCAGGCTTCTACCGAATTGGAGAAAGTTCTCATGACGGCCCCGTATTTTCTTAACACAATGTCATGGATATGAAGTATACCATCAAACATTGTCAGTGCGAGGCATGTGACTACCGTGCTAATTTTTCTGATGCTTGAATTTTTTTCCCAATTCTCCTCAACTCCGCCATATCATATGCCTGAAAACTAGGAAAAAAATCCAAAATCCGAAACAATAATGACTACAAGCATTTCGGATTAGAGATACTCAACCTGTACATCAAAGTGACACTCTATATGAATGACATTAACTGAAAAATCTGCTGCATTTGGGTATGTTTTGATAATACATCTTCGCTAGGTGCTCATTTCATCAAATACCTTGACATATACCTTGACAATACC